CAGCCCGGACGGCTTGTGGGACCCGAGTGCATCCCACAGCGCTCTGCATTCGCTCGGCATCCCCATCGCCCGCTCCCGACACCACCGGGCTCCGGGGACACCCATCCGCCAGCGCTGGTTCACCCCTGGGAATGAACCCCCACGCACCTCGGTGGGACAGCGCGAGCGGAGCCGGCACTGGAAAACTCCCGCTTTGCCGCGGGGAGGAGGAGGACGACTGAGGGCTCCCGCAGAGAGGAGGGGGTGAGGCGGCCGTACCTTTGGAGCTGCTGAACTCAGCGCATAAAAAAATCCAAACCAAGGCCGGAGGAAACACTAACTAAAATGATTTCCAAAGTATTATTGAGGGGCAATCAGCAACTGAATTGTTTGTTGATGCTACTCAACACTTTCATAAACAGAAGCAATTTGTTCTAGCTAAAAGAAACATGTTATTTTTTAAATAATTTCACACTTTGATCTTTATATCAGAAAGCCACGTAGAAAAATATACAACATGCTGAAAATATTCATTAATCAATCCCTAAGTTCGCCTCGTCGCAACTGTGCTTGTTTTGACACCTGCTTGCAAGTTTCCTGCTGTGGCATTTAACGTGCGATAAAAACCAACTGAACAAAACGCACCACGACTGCAAGTGCCGGCAGCACCCCGCGCTCGCCCCGCACTGCACATACCGCTGCTGACGACTGAGCTTTTTTGCTGCTACCGGTCTCTCAGGTGTTACCGAGGGCCTATCACAACCCCCTGACACGTCGGTGTCCCGGCAGCGACTGACAACTCACGGCAGCTTCCAGAGCGCCAGAGGGTCTCACTCACAAACCGGCCGCAGCCAGAGGAAGGAGAGCCGTGGCCAGTACCAGCGTTGGAGGAGTGAGCCGAGCACACCGGGGAGGGAACCCAGCCAGCGCCGGCTCACCAGCCCCCCGTCACTGCCCACCGCGCGCTGCTCCATCTGCGTCTCTTCCCACAACATGGGTCTGCTTCTCGAAGAGGCATCTTTGCCATTTGGGGAACTCGGAGCGTTGTGCTGAGCTCATAGCAACAGCTCAATCCCACGCTGACTTTCCTGCTAGTGTTTATTACCAGTTAAAGGTGCAATGATGTATGAAAATAAATGAAAACATGCCAAGGTCAGCCCCAGGGGTTGCCACGCTCTGGACACCATCGGAGTGACTGGCCAGTCCGCCCGAGCGGGGGTGACAGGGAACCTCCCTGCCCTTACGGAGACACACCACCGGCACCGGCAGTCCTGCCGAGCTGCTTTCTGCGCCGGAGGAGCCACCGATCCGTGGCAGTGTAGAGTTCTGAGCAAACCCAGAATCAGGCTTGAACATGAAATTAGGGGGACTGCTGGAATGTGTATGAATTATGCATGTGATTACAGCAGGCGGCATCACGCCTTTAAAGTGCAAATTATTTGGGACCAGGCTTTATTTTCTGTAAAGCATAAAGCACATTTTCCTACGGTGCAAACAATCCAACTCTAAAGTATGTAATTTTCTGTCTCTTCTACTTTCCGGTCTTGCCTGCCAGTTTCCATTAAGACTGGGGGACCAGTAAAATATAAAGCGAATGTGCAATATATGGCTTTCTAGTGGATTATATGACATTGGTTTTAAAAGGTAATTTAGCATGCTACATACCACAGCCTAAAAAAAGGTCTTTCAGAAGAGATGCAACATCCTTCTGACAGCAAAAACACACTGAGTCACAGAGGTAATGTTGTGTCCCGCCAACATCAGCGGCAGCGACGGCAAGAGGGGGTTTACCCATCGATGGTCTGACTCGGGAGGTGGCTGAGCCTCCGCAGCCTGCGGGAGGGAGCGCTGCCACGGCTGGACGCACCGCCGCCACAGGTGCCCTCGGGCAGGTTCCACTTCTCACGGCAGCGGGTTGAGGGTGTCCGCAGCGTGCGCTGACGGGGAGCATCACGCCGCGGCAGCACGCTCGCCATCCAGCACTTTGCAAGTGATTTTTCTGTACCTGAAACAGCGCAGAAACGGTAGTAGCAATAAAGAGCTATTTGCGAGGAAAATAAAAACGTGTTCCACAAACCGTACAGCCGCTCCTGAGCTGTGTACATGCACTGTGCTCCTCCTGTGGTCAGCAGAAAACAGATTTTTGAAGGATCTTCACTGACCCAGGTGGTCTCCTGGATAATTAACTGACATCTAATGAAGGGGACTTTCCAGCTATTCGGTGTTCGTCTTTTTCTAACTGTCATTAGCATTCGTTGCAGCCCACACCTCCCTAAGTGTTTTGCCCGATCCTCCCAGGGAACTGCTCACTGAGGAGGAACCTGAGCTTCAGCCCGAGCCCTTCCAAGCCCCTTCCTTCTGACGTCTGTCAGTACATCCCGCTACTAAAATTAAACACACATCGGTAATTCCTCAAACAACCATAAAAGGGGACCAAATCAGTGCTTTCACGTGTTCTTATACTGAATATCCCACCTATATGCCGATAACATTAAACGCTAGGAAGTGTCTTAGGTGTTAAGTTCCTACATACTACAATAGTTATTTTCAATGTAATTTCCTTCCATTACTACCGAGTTTCCCTGCTCACTTCCTTCCCCGCGCCCCCACCTCCTCCCCCAGGTATCTGAAATATATATATGATGGCCTTGTGTAACCTCCAAGTAAGCCCTCTAAATTCACAGGACAGGTATCATAAGCCAGTGTTTTAAGCAGTGGCACCAACTGTCGTTTAGCTGTGGGTTTTGTTTGGGTTTGTTAGGTTTCTTCCTGTGTGTGGTGGAGCTTTTTTGGTCAGGGATTTAACCTGAAATGAAGAAAGGAAGAAAGAAACATTTTTTTCGGAGCAGACAGCTGTATTTTCCCTTGTATGTTCCCATCCAGAAAGGGGGAGACCCAAAGCAATGCACCATATCTATGAAACTACGCAGCATCGTACTTCTGCGTCTTTACTCTTATCCTCACCGCTTTGCTTCAGAGCTACGCAGTGCCCTTTCTCCAGTGCTCCAATATGCCGCAACCAGCATTTGCCCGTGTCAACACATAAGATCACTTATATCCTTGGACAGGTAGGCTGTCAGGACATGAAAACCTGGGTCAATGAGTAACTTTCTGTGCTGGAACAGCTTTTTGCAGGTTAACCCGAGAGCTACTCAGGGCCCATCAGCCTCGGACACCCATCCGCTCTCTGCTGGTGCACCAGAACCAATAATAAATGAGAGTTACCAGGTTCCAGACCTGTCAGCTGAGCTGGAAATGCATGACATTGCTGTTTAACCTAAACACCCAGCATGGGTAACCATCAGCCTACAGGAACTCAGTGTGCACCGTCAAACCAGCAATCTGCTGATCCAAATATCATTCAGTGTCCGCAGCCCTTTACTCGTCCCAGGTATCAGAAAAGACCCTGAACAACAGACTAGATGTAAATTAACACATCAACATTCACACGCTGTCATATCTCATTGCTTCGCAGTACCCAGAGCCGTCTGTTCCCACACATCCTAAGCACTTTTAATTTTCCGTAACTGTCACCTAAAGCAATTTAATTCCTGAAGAACAGTGGGAGAGGGAGAGAGGACACTGACATTTATCTTCTCTTGTTAGGAGACGCTAAGCCGCTTGCGAGCTCTCCTGTCTCTCTTCACTTAAGGAGACAAATGCCAACGCAGAGCCCAGCGCTCGCTGTTCTCCCTGAGCACAGGTACCGCGCACCGCACGCACAGCGCCGCGCGCTGACACACCGTCCGCCGTCCCTCTGCTACTGCCACTGCGCCCGCGTCACTTCTCGACAACTTTCAGCCACGTCACACACAGAAAGTTATTACTGACGGTTAACGTAGGTGCCTCGTTACAGGATCCTGGGGTAAGGTGGCAGAAACCGCGCATTAACAAAAAACACAACTTTAAAGATGTCTCATAGACTGGTGAACGACAAAGCGTTTGAAACTGCAGTGGAGAGCAGGTCTCTGGGAAAGCAAAGGGAAAAGTCGCACCCACTTCCACATCTCTCAGGCTGATTGTGAAGGACGGGCTCAGCGACGTCCCCTGCCCGAGTACCTCCAGATGGGACACACTCACAAAGACCCAGTTGTGACCATGGTGAGTGTGGAGCCCAAGTCCTGACCCCGCGGCAGATGAACACTGCTGCAAGCATCTTTGCTCCGCACAAATGTTACCCTCCACTGTACCACATTACCCACCAATTTCAGGCATTCCCACAAGAAATAAAGGGATATTTAGGAGGAAACGCACGTTATTGCCCTACCCGTGAGGACTCATGAGCCTGCACTGCGGCACCCCTCCTCCAGGAGGACTGTGCCCTTTCCAGCACAGACCAAGTATTAATTTGGTCTAACATTTTACCTGAACTGTACTTCCAATAACTTCTTCTTGATTGCCCTTTCCCTCCCTGTCAGTGGAGTGATCCATGAATTGCAGTTGGGTTTGTTAATGTTTTCTTACTTTAGCTTCACGCAAACAGCCTCAGCTGCCCTCAGCATTTCTTCCACCCCAATCTCCTCTCTTCAGACCTCCCATAGGCACATGAGCCCCTCAAGGCCTCGCAGGACCTCCATCACCTCCAGGAGATGCCTGGGCTGTTCCTACCGGAGGGAGGACATGAAATCCCATCCCCATCCAGCTCGGCACCGAGGGGCACACTGTGCTCAGCGGGTCCTGCGGGACGGAGCATCCCCCCGCGGGGCTGCATCCCGGGTGTGCCAGACTTGAGTGCAGGGGGTATGGGCTGGGGAGCAGGGGGGAGGAGGAGGAGGGTCCCCCCAACCTGGCACCGAGAGCCCAAATATGCCCAAGAGTGAACGAGCGCCCAAAGGGAGCCGGCTCTGGACTGAGCTGCCACGGCCCTCACCTCCCTCCTGCCTCCCACCACCACCACCACGCGCGGGCAGGACCGGGGCGCGTCAGCTGAGAGCCGGAACCCCTGCAGGCAGAGAGCCGGCAGGCTCAGCACGGGCACGCTGCACGGACCGGTCCCTCACCGGCATCACCCGAAGGGTGCGATGACCCCAACGGTGCTCACACACCCACCCCTTGGGAGCCCCCCGTCTGAGACCATCACCATAGCCATCTCCATCACCATCGCCAGCCTGCCGCGGCTCGTCCCGGCCCCGCTCCCCAGAGCGGAACACCCACGTACGTGATGGATTCACATTTGGAGAATGACGCTGACCAGGTCTGCTGCGTGTGCCGGACCTCCGCGGAATGCAAAGGTACGACAATCTGCAGCTCGCGTCCCCCACGGCTGCATGGGGCAGTGGGGATGACCTCGACGGGCACAGCCAGCGAAGGCGCGGGAGCTCGGCCAGGCGGGAGAGCAGCGCCGTGGGGCACAGCCCCGCACAGGGAAACGGCAACGTGAGAACAGGACCAAGATTTGACAGAACAAGACCCATAATGAAACGCTGGAAACACGAAATTTCCAGCCTCTATGCAATCTGCATTCTATGAAAGGCAGTTCAGTTCTGTAAATAGTTGAGAATTAGAAGACTTAAACAAAAATATACGTTTTTAAGCCAACACAAGTGAAAGATAAAGCATGCTTTTAGGTGAGCAATAGCAATGGTTTTTCATAACTGCAATTTTCAGTGTTCAAAGGGAGACGTTTTGTCCCCTTTTACCAGCGCAATCCTGAACGGTTTTTCTTCAGATTTCTTCCAGTGCTACTGAGAACAGTCCGTGGCCTTCAGTGTGGAGAGTGACAGCAAAGTTATTAATTATTTCTGAAGAAGAAAAAGAGGCAGTAACCCAAACGTTGCACTTATTACCACGCGCTTTCATGACTTGCAGTTACTGAGTTCTGTGGATTAACCGATTCCCGCATTACACGACCCACTGAGAAGCTTCACGCACAGAGAGGTTTGCAATCCCTGCACTGAACGAGGGGCATCGGCTCCGCTGGGGAGGTTGGGGGCAGCGAACGTGTGGCAGGAGCTTGTCTCTGGGCAAAGCACACACAAAAAGCCTCGGATCCGGGGGAAGCAAGATGCAAAGCAAAAACAAAGCCCTGCTGACAATACTAAACACAGCTCTTCTGACACCTCCTTGTGATTCCCACTCCCTTCTCCCCCCACTTACTTACTTAGCTACCACTTTGATAATACATAAAGGCTTTTTTCTCTTGTTTTTAAATAACAGGGAGAGACATCTGTGCTCTCAACCCACAGCCACATTACAGTCAGGCTATCAAAAAAGTTTGCCTTGCAATCTGATCAGTGAGTACTTTCGTAAGTAATTTGCAGAGCACAGATGCTTAACGCATCTGCACCTGACACTAAACAAATAGGATTTGGGATTTTATAACCACCTTACTGGGCATTAGTCCATAATTTTCCAATCACAAGGGCAACGTTTCCTTCCCAGGGCTTGGAATCCCTGCCCAGCCGAGACGGTGAAGCCGGGGCAGAACCAGTGCCGGTGCCTGGCTCAAGAGGATCCAGCCCCGAGGCTGCTTCACCCCAGCAGTGAGCCCACCGCGGCAGGAGGGGGCTGAAAGAGCAGCACGTGGTTTACGACACTTAGCACCTTAAGAGAGGGGAAAAAGCTGCTCCTGGTCCCTGGGTCACAGCCAGGACTGTCCCCTCTCCCGGGGTTCCCCTCCTGGCAGCGCAGTGGGATGCCCCCAGACCTGGGGCAAGCCTGGCGGGAGGGGTTTGGGTCACCGCAGAGGGACAGGACGGGATGCAGGAGGAGGTCAGGCTTTGCTCCCCCTCATCTCCACGTCTCTGTCGCTCCGACACCTCCGACGGTCTCGCAGCACGCCCTGGCTTCCGTGAAGGTCCCAACCCCTGGAACAAACAATTATGGGGGAGAATCCTGATCAGAAAAACCAATGCCTGGCGCTGTGGAGAACGCGGGACACCTTGCTCCCAGCCTGTCGGAAAATGGTAAGTAAAAGGAGGAATGTGAACAGCTTGCCAATCTGCGATGACTGAATTCTTGACTTCCAAGTGATGTAAGTTGACAACGACACATGGATCTGAGAATCACCGAATCCCAGACTGGTGGGGGCTGGAAGGTCCCTCTGGAGCTCCCCCATCCCACCCCCCGCCAGAGCAGGGGCACCTCCAGCAGTGGCACAGGACGGCGTCCAGGCGGGTTGGGATGGCTTCCAGAGGGGGAGACTCCCCCACCTCTCTGGGCAGCCTGTGCCACTGCTCTGCCGCCCTCACAGCAGAGAAG